GGCGGCGGGGGCGGCGGCGGGGCCGCGGCCCCGGCGCACGAGACGTGCTGGGGCTACTACGACGTGAGCGGGCAGTGGGACAAGGAGTTCGAGTGCAACAACAGCCTCACGGGGTTCCGCTACTGCTGCGGCACCTGCTTCTACCGCTTCTGCTGCAACAAGCGCGCCGAGAAGCTCAACCAGAGCCTGTGTCGCAACTACAAGAGCCCCGAGTGGGCCCACCCCACCACGGCCAGCGGCGCGCTGCCCGCCGACGGCAGCAAAGGCGCCGACGGAGACGCCAACAAGTACGACCCGGACAAGGACAGCACCAATGCCACTGTCTACATCTCGTGCGGGGCCATCGCCTTTGTACTCATCGCTGGCGTCTTCGCCAAGGTGGCCTACGACAAGGCGCGGCGCCCACCCCGGGAGATGAACATACACAGGTGCGATCCTCCCTGCTGTTTTCAGCACCCCTGCTGTCTAGGGACACCCTCTTGACCAAAGGTTCCCCCTTAGCGCTGTGTGTTCAAGGATTCCCCTGTGGGACTGTCTGTCCAAGGGTGGGACCGCGTGTCCAAGGATTCCCTCACTGCGCTACCTGTCCAAGGGGTCCCTCTTTGAACCACACGCCCAAGAGTTTCTCCTTTGCGCCGCCCTTCACAGGGTCTATCCAGGGATTCCCCCTGTTTCCTGCCTCGCCAGGGTTTCCCCTCTGCACCATCTGTGCAGACACTTGGCTCCCGGACCTCCCCTCCAGGCCCCCTCCCAGCCAGGCATCCCTGGGCACTGCCCGTCCTGCTGCACCTCCAGCCCTTCCATCCTCGGGGAAGCCCCGTGGGGCCTTCTCCCAAATTCCCTCTCACCCCGAGCGCCCCACTGGGCCCCGCAGGCCTCCTGCTCTGCCCCCCGGCGCCGCGTTCAGCATCGCGGCCGCAGACAGCCCTGCCGCCCGCCCTGCGCCGCGCTCGGAGAGCGCCAGGTCCTCCGGGCAGGTCCCCCTGCCCTGCAGCCCCAATGGGGATTTAGGGAAAGCAGCGATGCCGTGGTTTTATTGGTTTGCCTGTTTTGCCCCCAAAATCGAGGTAACTCAAGCTACGAGTCCGTCCTTCCTAGCTGTCTGCTAGGGAAGTAGTTTGATATCCTATTTGCAGTGATTTTAGGCATCTTTGTTTTAATGCCTTTTTTTTTTCTTCATAAGATAAAACAGTCCAAATGTGTTGAAAAAGTACTGTTCAAAAGCTAAAGCTCAGGCTTCCATAACATCTCTCCTTTCAGACAAATTCACGCTTTTTTTTTTTTTTTTTTACAATTCATACTTATTTTGGTGAAAAAGTCCCTGCAAATGCTGTGTGCTTCTCATGTGCTGGGAGCCCAAGAGGTTTCCATGTCTGAACACATAAACTGGGGAAGAGTTTCTTTATAAGAACAGCTGGTAACACACTGATGGGAAGGGTGCCTACTTCAAGCACATCATGCTTAACTTAAATATTTTTAATTAAAAGCTCTTAATCAAACAAAGCCCTTGACCGTATTTTTAAGCTTGAACTTCAGATGAGGTTAACAGCCCTGGCATTAGATTTTTAGGGTTTTTTTTACATAGAAAAAAATGAAATAGTGTCACAGTTTTTATTTGGTGAGATCTGTTTTCTTTAGTCTCCTGTTCTTTTAAGAAAATACACTGGCTGGTGTAAATTGTTATGTCTTTAATGAGGACAAAAAGTAATGCTGGTTTACATTTGCAGAGAGTCTAGCCCATGTTTTCTAACACAAGCACCACTGCTTTAAGAAAACAACTTGCCAGTGCTAAAAACATTGTAATATCTCTGAGGTCACTTTTGTCTGTGTCAAAAGCATCCCAAAAGCAGCTTAGTTGAGAAATAGATTCTTTTCCATGCTTTTGTAAATAAGGGTTGCTTCCCCAAGTGCCCAGATCATTTGGTTTCAAGTCAACTGTATTGGTTTGTCTTATCTTCACAGGAGATTTGTAAATTTGACACTGATGCCCATATATTACTTTTGCTGTAGCTCCAGTGTGTTGCAGGGCTGGATCCTACACCCTTTGAAATCAGAGACAGTGTTGCCAGACTTGTCTGAATTATTCCTGATGTTTTCATTTCTTTGATGCTTGCTTTTCTTTATTTAGATAAGTTCTGGTAAAATGATTCACCTGTGTGTAGAAGTATGAATGGCAGATTGAGTGCTTGGAAAGCTTGACTTTTCAGTGCATTTTAAGGAATTGATTGACTTCTATAATATGGTAGCTGGTGAAAGATTATACCTTTTGGAGATATGTTACCTGAACTTGATCAACACTGCACGCTGGTTTAAATATTATGAGGTGCATTTCCAGCAGATAAGGTCTACATCAGTGTGAGGAATAATGTTATCCATAGTCTAAACAGAATGTGAATGTGTGGAGTGGAATGGTTTGTCTTTGTTTGCCTCCGAGAACTACTGCTGAGTAACAGGGAAGAATCAAATACAGAATGAACAACAGATATTTATATCTTTTTTGAGGCTATGTCAATTGGAGTTAAGTGTAACATCCAGAGTAATTCACTGTAGTGATGACGAGAAGTGCATTAAATCTCAGTGTGCATCCCACCAAAATCTCTGGAGTGAGAAGAACAACAGCTTAAACAAAAATCATATCCAGCCATCATGAGCACTGTTCTACACCCAGAGAGATTAAGCAAGACTTCGCCACACTTCAGTACAAACAATATCTCACTTTAAATTTTGTCTTACAGTAAAGAGATACAAATGGTTGGTTAGCAGAATTGTGTTTTCAAAGTTATCATTCAGCTCTTAGAGAAAATTCTTGTCAATACAGTTAGAAAGAACATTTTGATGGGTACAGGGCTCATTTGTGGCTTTTGATAGGAAAGTGGGTGTACACATTCATAGCAGAGCCATCACTCTCATGTGAAATGAAAGGCCGACTGTGCATTGAGATAGGCATGTGCGTTGCAGAACTGAAAATTGAGCCTTGTTTGAAGGTGCTCGCAGGCACCTCTAACGCAGAGGCACTGCTGTGATCTGGGATGAGGCGTTTCAGCAACTGATACTTGTGTGCGTTTCTGAGAGGAGCAAAAGTGCTTGGAAAAAAAAAGGAAAAAAAGAGGCTAAAATATTCGTCGTTTACAGAAACATTTGCAATGTTTTAAAACCGAACAGATTTTTTTAATGATTATAATGTCTTTCAGCCTGACCGTATATGAATGCCTCTGGCCTGAATCTCTTCAATTTTGCTTCAGAGTTACATAGAGAGAGCTAATGCATGTTGGGCTGTGAGTAGAAATTGAAACTGTTTTCTGAGAGTTTTACCAAGCAGTGCTTTGTATGGTGTCATCCTCTGTCCTCCGACTGCATTTGTGTGGGTAATGGTCAGTTTTCAGGATTTTTTTTTTCCTTTTTTCTGAAGCATTTCTTAAGTGGGTAGAATTTTTTCCTTAAGTTAACTATGGGAACTAATTAGGGAGTCTTTGGCTGCAGATGAGGCATTTCGGCTGTTTGTTTTCAAAGCAAAAGGTCTTCTGTAGCAAAGGGGGGATGACCCAGAATATTCTCTTCCCGTAGGCATGCCCCTGAATCCCTGCTCCACAGCACATAAATAATTCAGTGCTAGTAGTATCACTCCATGACCCCTATTTAGCCCTCCGCAGCAGTAACCATTGCACTCATTACCCAAATAAGAGCGCACAAACTGGAAAAACTCTTCCTCGTTTGCAGCTAGGGTTTGAACTGCTACCAACCGCTGGCCACATGGGCAGCCAGAGCCCTCGTTGCTGCCAAGCCGGGGACAGATCGAGCGGTGAAGGCCTTGGGGCAGCGGTGGGGAGCCCAGACGTTCCCCTTGCAGCTGCTGGGAAGCAGGCTGGGGTTTTTTTCCCAGTGAACTAGGTCTGCCCCTGTTAAAAGGCATCTTCCACGTGTGCCCCTGCATCGCGTGTGCCCAACTTTAACTTCTGGAAGGGAAAGGGGCAAAAGCACCTTCTTGTCAGGGAGCTTCCAGTTACTCCATTCCCAGATCATGTTTGTTTTTGCAAAGAGAGTGATTTGTGCTACTCTTTTCATCACCCTCTGCCGTGCATCCTCTGCTCTGTGAATAACAGTGAGCATTTTTATAAATGAGCAGCCTTTTCCCAAGTAGCAGCCCGGTTAAATTGATGTATTCCTTGCCATATTTACTCTGCAGCTCTGAATTTCAACAGAAACCCGAGGCAATGGATCCGTTTGTTCACAGATCCAGCAAGGCTGAGCTCTTTTGCTATCTGAAAATTTTGGAGATTTGCTTTTGCTGCAGGCAGTGTCTCAGCACAGCGCTTGGGCTCCAAGGTTGCTGGAGGAATCACTGGAGAACAGATAGTTTCAGGCCTCTTGGCTAATGGAGGAGCCTGTAAAACCACCCATCTCCAGACTTGGGTCTACAGAGGAGGTGCAGCTGGTGCAGCTCTGCTCTTGGACGTGTGTGTTCCTTGAGCTAAGCAATCCCATTTTATGCCTCCCTAGGGCTGGGGAGAGTGCTAAGAGCACGTGCCTGGCTGTATGGGCTATACAGAGACTTTCTGTTACCATTTTCTTTCACTTTTTTTTTTTTTCATGCCCTGCTTGTTTTTACTCCACTTTGTCTTGTTCATCTGAGACACTCACATGTCTTTCATATGCTCTTTGCCCTGCTTTACATTGTGTATTCCTGATGGTTTCTGATTTTCTTCTCTAAAGTGCCCTGTTTCTCCCATAGGCACAGAATATAGGTCCACAAGTAGAAGCCAGTCTTGATTAAGCCAAAATAGAAAAGGTACAATCTTCTTGCCTCAGAGAAGTTACTCATAAATAGTTTTCTATTTCAAACCAACATTAGAGTCTATTCTAGTAACTAGAGCTCCCATCCAACAAGAATCTGAATCTGGTCTTGTTTTCCAGTGGTGAACTGCCCATTTCCAGGTAGTCAAGGTGTGATATATATTTCTGGGCATGTACTTTTGCAAAACTCTTTTTCCTTTTCCTTTGTACATGCGTTGGGGAAAATCCAGTGTGAGGCTACGGTTGCAGTTTGCTGGCTGATTTTGCCATACTTTTTGTTGTCTCTGCCTTCCAAAGGATCTAGCTTGGTGATGGCATAGTCTGCCCAGCTGCAGATTTCCCCTGTCCGTATTTGAATTCTCCTTTTCTCTTTCTGAACTTCATGCATTGAGAGCAGCACTCTCAGAGACCATATTCCTTTCACCAAATCCTTTCAGCGTCTCTGATTCCCATTTATTTAACATTTTCCTGCTTTCTAACTATCTTTCTCCATTAGTAACCCTTCATCACAAGGTGCCAAGGGAACCCTGCCTAGCTCTGAACTTCTGTTTCTTTTAGTTTTGCAGTCTCTCGTATCCTTAACTACTGGTTGATCTCTGTATCTTTGAGATCAGAAGCCTTCTAAAACTTCTGTCTC